CCCCAAAACCCCAAAACCCCAAAACCCCAAAACCCCAAAACCCCGGTTCCAAGTCAAAAAATTGAATAATCTAAAAAGTAATTTGGTATAAGACGGAATCAGAAAAGATGATTTATAGAAAATTAGGTAATACCTATTTGAATGTTCCCATCCTCTCCTTGAGAACATAACTGGCCTCCTATGATGAGAACTCAGAAGCTGATACCATTGAGTGCATGAAGAAGGCTTGAGAATTAGATGTCAATATCTTTGATATTGCTGAGATATATGGAACCGGTACTGCGAATGCCATCATGAGTAAAGTCTTGAAGAAGATAGGAGCTGAAAAAGAAGACTTAATAATTACAACCATACTGATATACTGTAGAAGTGGTCCTAATAACTCATTGCTTAGTAGAAAACGCTTGTTGGAAGGTATCAAAAACTCTTGTGAAATAAATTACTTAAGCTAATAAATTTGATAAGTCAACGATTCCCATGCATTTTTAACGAACACAATGACAATGTTACAAATTATTTATCAGCTAAAACGATTAAAAGGTATTCTTATTTTGAAAAATCATCTGTAAATTTAGTTGGTTAAAATTTTATTCTTGATAATGATTCTACAATTTTATCGAAAGAATAAAAGCCTTTGACAGGATTATTACCATCCATTGACAAAAAGCTGCTACCGAAGGATTAATCTCTTTGGCTTTAAATGTAGAACTATGTTCTTTAAAGCAGCTTGACCTTGATTACGTTGATGTAGTCTTCTACCACAGACCAGATACTCATACTCCTATTGATGAAACATACAGAGCCTTAGATTGGATCATTGAAGAATGATATGCATTTTATTGGGCTATTTCAGAATGGACTGCGGATCAGATTGATATAGCCATGGATATCTGTGAGAAGGAGAATCTTCATATGCCAATTGCTGATCAGTGCCAATACAATGCCTTATTCAGAGAGGACTTTGAGAAGAATCTGAGACACTCATATGAAAACTATAAATAAAGAAGGATCCACCGTCTGGTCTCTTTTTACAATAGAATTTCTGACTGCTAAATACATCAGTGGTGAGTTTCCAGAAGGATCAAGATTCCATCCAAATAACAAGGAATTAGTTTAGGACTTTTTGTATTTTTCTGCCGTGATGTATCCAAAGAGAAATCACCTTTGAAAAATGCAGCAAGTTCACAAAAGTTGCGGAAGAACTGGGATGTACATCAGCCCAACCTGCATTAGCTTGGACTCTTGTCAACAGGGATGTAAGCACTTGCATCTTTGGAGCTACTAAGGTTAGCTAACTTGAAGGAAACATGGGTGCGATGGAAGCCAAGAAATCTTTGCCAACCAGCTAGAGCCAGAGATGGATTTTAACACCTTCATTCTAAAGAGACCAAGAAGAAGAGTGTATATTGATTGCAACATGCAAGTTTTAAGGAATAATTGATGGTGAAGTTGCACTAAACTTATCTTTTCTATTTGGATTTCTTTTAGCCTAGTTGACAAATCTGTCTGCCTTCAGCTAATGGGATTATTTTTTTCTATTAGATATACTCATATATTTTTAGAAATTCACTTTTCTTCACCCAAGATTTTAATTTGCGTTTTTATATTTTAGAACGCATTTTCTAGAAGTGTCCTAAAAAAGTTACACTGTTCAGAGAACAATCTAATATCGAAGTTTCAATATTATCAGACAATATTGGGGTTTTGGGGTTTTGGGGTTTTGGGGTTTTGGGG